TACGTCACTTTTTGTCAATTATTATCCCAAACAATAAGAGTTGCTTAGTTAGGCACCATACTACGTAACTAGTCTTCCACCGTTCCACGTAATTGATGTGGCACTTTAGAATCGAAAATGTTAGAAAATAAATGTTATTGAGAGCTTGTTTGGAACAGCTCAAAATTAAATTAAAATTGAAAATATAGTCATTATTGGATCTCACTCGTCTAATAAAAGTCAACAAAAACAACTAATTTTTCAATTTTAATCTCTACCGAACAAGCCGTGAAATGTATTAGTTAATTACATTGTAGGTTATTGAACTTTCACCCTAATTATAATTGGATTATTGAACTTCAATTTGAAGCGATCAAACCATGAAACTTTAATTAAAAAGCAATCAGGCCACTCCATGTAGATTCCTTTTAACTTTCCTACTGAAATTAATTAACATGTCCATTAAAACGAAAGAAATATTGAAGTGACCATCTCAAATAGCACATTAATAACATTGGTGGTTATTGAACTTTCACCCTATTACAATCGGGTCACTAAACTTCATGGTACTATCAATTCATAAATCATGCAATCTCACCCAATAAACTACGATACAATTTATCGACTCTTTACCATAAAAACACTTTTTTTTAGTCTTTGTAAATGTGTTTGTACACACCAGCTAGTGAACAATAATAGGTAGCAAAACTCAAATAATAATTTTTCAAACTCGATCAGCACTAAAGCAACTCCATCTGAAACATCAAAAGAAGAAGCAAATATCCAATATCGCAAAAAAAACTCTAACATAGATACCAAACTAAAATATAAATCGAGCAAAATAAGAAAAACCTAACATAATTATTTCCGAAAATCAAAACCTACAAAAAAATATGTTTTAGTAAACAAGACTCATAAAGTGATTTGCAAAAATGTGTCCAACATCACAAGAAAAATTCGACATAGATACCCAACTAAAATTTGTTTTAGTAAGCGATTTGAGAAATCTATTGTAATGCCCCGAAAATTTTCATAGAATAGAATTTAATGTTCGTAAGCTATATTTTAATGTTTTAAAAGTTAGGGACTAAAATGATACACTTATTAAATTATATTTTATTTGGGGCAAATGTTTAAATATTGATATAGTAATGATAAATGTATCAATGTTGGA